GGGTTCTCTACTAGACAATTCGGTTATCTAGTGCCACTAGGTGTTGGACTTCATGCATTGCATTTAGGCCTAGTGCACATCGGAGAGTAAGCAAAAATATTTATCGAAAATATTTTGAGAAATGCTAACTTGGCTCTAACATATTTTGAGAAAACACTTTGAGAGTTAGCATCGCTTGCAGGATTAGCTTGAGTTGCCGTGGATCGAATAGCGAAAAAGTTTGCAACTCAGAGAGCTAGTGGAGGTGCCAGGGTGGCACCGTCACCCCCTGTCCGATGGCACCGCCACCCCTAGGGCGGTGCCCACCTAGATTTGACTGAGAAGGGATGAGTGGGGTGGTCACCAGGCGTGTCGGTGTACACTGCAAGGTGCAGGGCGGTGCACCGCCGCCCTTGTCCAGTGTCACCGCCGCTTTATTCCTGAGAGTGACCGAAGGTGGGCTGGTCACCGCCATGGTGACGGCGGTGCACCGCCACTTTTTCCAGAGAGGAGGGAAACCGGGGGGTCGGCTGGGTGGCCACCGCCATCCTGTCCGGTGCCCTAGAGGCTAGTTTGTAGCCGTTGGAATTCGACCGTTGGAGGGCACCGCCACTCTAACCGGTGCCAGGCACCACCCCGTCCGGTGACCTCGCAGAAATAGCTTCAAGGGGTATAACAGTTCTATTTGCTTGTGTGGCTATAAGTAGAGGGTGTGGCCGGCCTTGGCCATTCTCTTGGTACCTTATACACTTGTGCACACCCTTTGGGAGCTGAGCAAACACAATCCACTCACTTGCACACATGATTTCATCATTTGAGTGAGATTGATGAGCCTCTAGTGCATTGCATTGAGTTACATCATCTTGTGGCACTATGTGCAAGCTTTGGGTTGGTTGTGAGCTTATTACTCTTGGTGTTTGCCGACACCTAGATAGCCCGATGATTGGAGGATCGTTGAGCGGAGTTGGTGATTGTCTCTATCCTCGATCGGTTGCTTGTGGGTAGGTTCTTACGGTGTCCATTTGATGGACGAGGTTCGTGCAACACCTCTTAGCCGCCGGACCACCAAGTGTTTGTCGACACAACGGGGACTAGTGTGCCAGCAAACACGTGAACCTCGGAAGAAAAATCTTGTGTGATTGGATTTCTCTCGATGATTGATTGGCTTCATCTTGTGATTGGTTCATTCCTCTACACGGTAGTATAATCACCCTCTCACCCCTTTAATATCTTACAAACTAGTTATAGCAAGCTCTTTAGTGTAGCTAGTTTTAAGAACTTGCTTTGTAGCTTAGTTTCATCTAGTGGAGCTCTTTAGTGTAGCCTTGTTTGAGAGCTCTTAGTGAGTAATGACTTAGCTCTTGTGTGTGCCTAGTGATTATAGCAACTAGAATTATTGGGATAGGTGGCTTGCAACCCTTGTAGAGCTAGAGTTAAATTGTATTACGTCATTTGTCATACTAATCAATTGCTCTAGTGATCTTATAGATTTTTAAATAGGCTATTCACCCTCTCTAGCCATATTAGGACCTTTCAACCTGTTAATTGGTTCCTATCTTGCTTGCTATCGGTTCGACTTTTGTTCAAGTTCATGGTGTACGGATGAGATTTGTATATGATGCATATATTCATTCTTTGATATGTTGATATGTTGATGATGGGGATTGATGCATTGTGAGCTCATCTTTGCAAGTATACTCCTTATTGTGAAGTTTGGACAACAGCATGTTTGAAGAATTGATACTATGTGGCTGTTTTGTTGTTTGCACATAAAGTGTTCGCTGAAATGCTTGTGAGTAATTAGCTGCTAGTTTTGATGCTTTCTCTGCCCCTCTGTGCTCACAATATCGCTTGTTTCTGGTTCCATGTTCTCATACCCTACCGAGATCATGCTGCTAGGGGGATTTTAATAATCCAGACTATACAACTGTATAACTTGGGTATTTGAAGATAACACATCCAACAAACTAGAATCCATGGTAATAATCTAGGATCTAAGCATGCATCGTATATTTTTAATCTAGAACCCAGATTCTATCATCACTATCTAGACACTGACCTCCAAAATGAAAGGATCCAAATGGCCCTAGAGGAATTGGTATTGATCTGGAGGATCCAGTTTTAGGCCCCGTTTAGATGCAATCCAAAACCCAAAATTTTTTAAGATTCCCCGTCACATCAAATCTTGCGGCACATGAATGGAGTATTAAATGTAGACAAAAAAAACTAATTACACAGTTAGCCGAGAAATCGTGAGACGAATCTTTTAAGCCTAAATAGTCCATAATTGAATAATTTTTACCAAATACAAACGAAAGTACTACCGTAACCAAAAGCTAAAAAATTTCGAAACTAAACGGAGCCTTAGACGAATTCGATAGTGACACTCATTCAATCACTGCTGTGTACGGCCTTGATACGACAGTGAGTCTCATCAAATCACTATCGGGTGAACACCTATCACTGCCAGTTTCAGACTCGGTAGTGACACAACTGGAGATATCACAGTCGAGTCTAGACCCTTAACCTGCAGTTTATGATAAAATGAAAGTCACTGTTGGGTCAAGCAAACTCCATCGCTATTGATTTTCCTTTGTCTGATCTAACTCCGGCAGTGATGCTGGATATAGACTCTCTGCAGTAATCCATACATCTAGAGTAGTGCTTGGATTGAACTAAAACCAGTTGTGCTAATTATTTCAAATTTCTAACAGATATATAACATAGGTGGATAATAAAATGGGCACTGCTAGCACGACGCGGACGGACGGACGCCCGCGTCCGGACGCCCACGGCTACAGTCGGTTTCCCCTCCGTATTGCGCGTCCACGCGTGCGCCCGGGCCGCCCAAACGTCGCTCGACCACGCATGCATCACCCACGCCCACACAGGGCCCGCGTCACCCGCTCACGCCCCCTCCTACTTCCCACATGCATCCCATATGCAACACCCGATCTACTTTTGAAACATCCAGATGCAATAGTTGCAACATACAAAAAAGACACAACAGTTGCAACATACAAGAAAGATAGATGAAACATTCAAAACATGCATCTAAACACTTGCAAAAACAATTGAAAACCACACGCAACATCCAAAAAACACTTGCAACATATGTGTGAAACATATACAGCATCCAGATAAACATGCTTGCAACATACGTCTAAAAAAATAAAACACTGTTGACAGACTCTTGCAACATCCCAATCCATCCGTGTACAACCAATGCAGCATATGCAACATTCCGATCTACTTTTACAACATCCATGTGAAACACTTGAAACATGCATCTAAAACATCTAAAATATTTCAAATGTACACTTGCAACATGCATCATATCCGATGCGGCCTCCTCCACCGTCTGTATCGGGGCACTGCAGTCGTAGCAGGAGGCGAGGCCGGAGGGCATCCCACTAGTACAAAAAATATTTTTAGAAGCGGTTAAAATTGGTTTTCAGAGGCGGTTTGAAAACCACTACAATCCCATCGGTTGTAAAAATAAGTGATTTTCAGAGGCGGTTTTATCGATTATCAGGGACGGTTCTTTTAAGACAACCGCCCCTAAAAATAATTTTTAGAATTTTTTAAAAATCATTTAGAGTCTAATAAAATTAAGAAAAAATAATTTTAATGTAGCCCAAAGGGTTAAGGACCGACCACAGCTGACAAGATTTATTCTTCACTTGTTTTGAATAAGTGTAGACACCGGGATTTGCAACCACAACCTCTTTCTCACAAGTTTTACCCCCTATCACCACACCACACAATCACTTGTGACTAGTTCTACGATGCTATCTATTTGTACTAACATGTATGAATCTTGTAATTAATATTTTAACTCATAAACAATCTTAATGAGAAAACTTTGAACTACAAAGTTTTAGATCTCGTCGATCACTACAGCTTTCATATAGGACATTTTTCTATCCAAGGTCATTTGAAAAAAACAAAAATTTGAAATTCAAAATCTAAGACTTAATTTATATATTTGGAACCCTAAATGATCTCAAACAAAAGTTTTATCAACAACAAAGTATTAGATCTCGTCGAGCTCTACAATTTTGATATAAATTTTGTCTTCGTCCAACTTCATTTAAAAAAGATATGAATTTATTTGTGCTGCAGCTATTTTTAAGGATGGTTGACTTAGTCAACTATCCTTGAAAATTGATTTTCAGGGACGGTTGACTTAATAAAACCGAGACGGTTGACATAAGCAACCGTCCTTGAAAATAGTATTTTAAGAGGCGGTTGTCTTAACGGAACAGCCCCTAAAATTGAGGCGGATTTCTTAATGGAACCCCTGAAAATTGATCTTTAGCGACGGTCATGCATGCTAGTTTAACCGTCTCTGATAGAAAAGGGAGGCGTCCCTAAAAATCTTTTCTGTACTAGTGTCCGTGCTAAGGCCCGACGCCTCTTCTTGCGCTGTCGGCATCGTCGGGCGGAGCGGGCGGCGGAGTAGGAGCAACGGCAGGAGCAGCAGGCGAGCGTGCGGAACAGCGGCTGGAGCAGCGGGGCTGGCACGTGGAGCAGCGGCAAGAGCAGCGAGCGTGGGCGCGTGCGGGAGCAGCAGCAAGATCTATAGGCGCGGGCGCACGAGAGCAACGGTAGGAGGTGCGGCGGGAGGAGCGAGACGGGCGCCGGAGTGGGAGATAGATGAATTGACTATATATTGTGGAGTAGGTGATGAATGAATTGACCGGATATTAAACAAAGGTTGTATCACATGGCCTCACGTCTGCGTCCGTCCGATACTCGAGTAAAGAGTCGGACGCTCGGATTGAAGAATTACCATAATAAAATACATGTATAATTATTGAACTTTTAATACTAGCCATACAATTTTGTGGGCATACGCTAACAACGTGATCTAAGCATGTACGCAGCATATGTGCGTTTATTTAATTTTTCTCATGATGAAGAGAGTGATTCTGTGCATTGCACTGCAAACCAACACACAGGTTCCGTTGATATCAAACATACATACACACACACAGAGGTTCCGTTGGACGTTTGGATCAGTTGTTCTGAAGGACTCTCTGGAGCTGAGCTCCGAGCGCCGGCAGCGTGATGGGCTTGTGGATGAGCCCGTCCACTCCCGCCCGCCGGCACATGTCACGCACGCTGTCATCGACACCGGCCTCCACGGCGACGAGGACCAGCAGCCAGCAGGTGCTACTGAGCTCCCGGATCCTGAGGGCCACCTCGAACCCATCCATGGCGGCTGCCGTGCCGGCTCCGCCGCCGTGTCCATCGAGATCAAGAACCACGAGCTCAAACGACGGGTCGGCGCCTCCCAGCAAGCTGAAGCAGTCGGCGCCCGACGACACCGGCAGCACCTGGCAGCCGAGCCGCTCGAGGAGCTTCCGGGTCACCTCCATGCTCGTGGCGTCGCTGTCGGCAAGCAGGATCCTCAGGCCTTTGAAGTGGAGGTGAGGAGCTGCCGCAGACGAGGCTCCAACTCCAATCCGGTACGTGCCTGATCCAGGCACATGAGGATTCAGTGGCTGATGCTGTTGGAACCGAAGGATGCACGTCATGGTTTCTCCAAGGCCTTCAGACTCCGATGCCCACCACATGTCACCATTCATCATCTGAAGAAATTGCATATATAACTCCCAATTTATATATATGCAGTATGCAAAACAACTGTACCTCCACAATCCTTTTGCACATAACGAAGGTGAGCCGCATGCTGGCACCGCCGGAATCGGGGGAGGAGATGCCACACTGGGGCGGGCGGGATGCCGGCGAGCTCCCAGGATCGCTCTTCGACAGCCCAATTTGGAACCTGACAAATACTTGGTTGCCGCCGGTGAAGCTGATGGGTCGCAGTGGCGACGGGATCCAGTCCTGGTGGTGGTGCTCACCGGCGATGCTACTGCAGCTGCAGACAGAAAACGAGAGGACACGATGGCCATGGCATCGGCTGAGCAGAGAGCCCGCCATGTGCAGCACAAGGTGGAAGACTCTCTTGTCGTTGCCGACCACCCACTCGGGCAGGGAATTGACCTCCAGCTGGTGCGAGAAGCCGAGGCCCCGGCAGCCGGACAAGCATCGGGCAGCGAAGGCCGCGTCCCTGATCAGCGAGCGGAGCTCGAACGGCCGCCTCAACACCAGGGTAGGAGGAGTAGGACTGGCCGACAGCGGCGGGTCACGGATGTCCACCATCCTCGGCAGCGTCTCCGTGACGTCGTCCATGAGAGTGGAGCACACAGCGCTTGTCCTGGCGATGGCATCGACGATGAGCCTCTGCTCCGGGCGCATCGTGGCGGCCTCCTGCTGCATCACGGAGAGCAGGCCGACGACGGCGTGCATCGGCCTCCCCATGGCGTTCCGCATCGCGCTGTGGGCGGTGTTCCTCGCCTTGGTCGCCGCCGCGAGCTCGCTCCGTGCGCGCAGCAGCGCACCGTGCTGCTCCGCCAGCTTGTGCCGGATCAGCTGTGACTCCTCCAGGGCCGCCGCGTGGGACAGCGCGACGGCGACCTGGTCGGCGACGGCCTGCGCAATCTCCAGGTCCTGGTTGCTCCAGCCTGTAGGTGGCCTTCTATGGTGGTGATCATCATCAGCTCGAAGGACCATGACTAGGATGGCGTAGCTCAACAGATCTGACGTGTATGCCGGCCGTATGGCTCCTCCGTGGAAATTTGGGATCCGTATGGCGGCCGCGGCTCCTGCCAGAGTCGGCAGGCTCCGGCAGCTCGCCGCCTTGAGCGCCGAGCCTGGCCGGCTGAGCACCTTGGCGTCCTTGCTGGCCAATACGGCGGCCACGTCAGGGTCACGAACGGAGATGGCGCGTACTGTGCCGCCGCCGCTGTGATGAAGCACCTTGTCGTCGTCTGCCAGCAGCTGGTGCGTGAGCTGGAGCACGCCACCGCCGTCGGTCCCGCTCCCGCCGCGCTGCTGGGGCATCCAGACGGCGCAGTTGCTAAGGCCGAGCGCGGCGGCGAGCTGGAGCATGGTGGTGCGGAGGATGGTGCGCGCGTCGACGGAGTCGCGGATGTGGTGCGTGACGGCGCGGACGACGCGCCAGACGGTCTCCTCGCGGCGCCGGACGGTGGCGAGGTCCCGGTCGAGCTGGCGTGCCTTGGTGCGGAGGAAGGACTCGCGGACCTTGAGGCGGAGCAGGCGCGGGAAGAGGATCGGGAGGGAGACGGCGGCGGCGGAGGTGGCGAGCGCGCCCAGGACCTTGGCGGTGGTGAGCGCGACGAGGATGGCGCGGGAGCCCGGGCGGTCGTAGGCGAGCACGTTCAGCAGGTGCGTCACGCCGCACATGACGATGAAGGTGCCCAGCTGGAGGAGCACCCGCCGGAGCGGCGCCAGCGCGGCGCACGTGGCGAAGTAGAGCAGCTCCAGCGGGATGGACAGCAGCGACGCCGCGATGAGCAGGTCGCTCACCTTCTGCCACTGCAGCATCGCCTCCACCGCGGCTTCCTCGCGCCCGTCGCACCCGCCGCAGCGCCGCGCCAGAACTGCACCCTGTCCCGACGACGCCATTAATTCGATCTTTCGCCCCCACCCACTGGCTGCCTCATTCCTTTACCTGCTATATGCATGATTCAGTCTAGCTATATAGCCTATATTGCATTTGCGACGAGACGAAGACACTGCTGGGAATCGGATCGAGAGGCTCTGCGAGGAAGACAGGTGTGCCTTGGCCTTTTGCATGCAGGATGCAGCGCAGCAGCGTAGTACGTTCCATCCATGCAGCGAGCAGCGTTACCTTGTGGCAGTCAGGTTCTGTTTTGCTTCAGATTTGTCCGGCGCTGCTTCCTCGAGGATAGGCAATTCCATCCATGCAGCCATTCAGGCTAGCTAGTCTGGTCCAAAACCTTTTGGATTTATGCCGCACAATAGCGGTAATATTTCCATTTTGTTAAGTCATCTAAAAATTATTATTCAGAAAATGCATGCTCCCAGTACTCACAGACAAGTGACATTTTAGGGTTATTATTAAGTTATAATTATTCCAAACTTTGATTTTATTTTACTTCGATTACTGTAGTATTTAAAAGTGATGCTAGTAGCTTTGTTCAAAACGTAGTTTTCATAAAGTGGAAAGGTAGTGGCATGTTTGGTACTGTTGAGTTTCGCTTGTGAAGTAGTTTTTTTTTCTTTAGCTCCGTAAAGCAGCTTCACCAAAACAGCTTCGTTCTTGGGGAAGATAGCAGAGAGAAAGTTGAGAGAAAACTAGTATTTTCAGCTTCACCTCGGTTCATTTTTTTAGCTGTGGGAGGAGCTGAAAAAACAACTTTTAGGGAGATGTGTTTTCAAAGGGTCTGTTTGTTAAGAAAAGATGAGAAACACAACTTTTGTGAAGCTGGAATTGAATCCATACGATACACGGTGTAAGTAACTAAGTCCCCTTGTTTGGAGCCATATAGCACATGATGTTTTTTAGGAAGTCCACTTTTAACCATCAAAGACTATGTATGAATATGAAACATTGGCGCCGTTCGCTGGTCTGGTTTTTCCAGACCAGCCGGCTGCTCTTCCTCACAAAATATTGTTCATCAACCAGCCGCTACAGTGTTCCTCTCTCACAAAACCAGTCAGTTTCACCCAAGTTTCAGACCAGCGAACGGGGCCATTATTACTTATATGTGACTAGAAGACTAGAAGGAACACACTTTTTTAACACTGAACTCCAATTTCAATTCTGACTTAAAGCATATATACAGCTTCAATCTGGCCTGGCTTCCATGTCAACAAAAAATTATTTAGGCTCCTTCTAAATGTTAGCACAATGTAATTATAGTAGGTTGATATATTTATGGTAGGCTACCCTTGATTGATTGCCTGTAATCTTGCCTGTGTGGTTGGCTGCATGCCACCCCGGCTATATGTACACCTGTACAATATATGAATGGCAATCACTAGTACAGAAACGGGTTTTACTCCCGGTTGGGAAACCCCTTAAGTCCCGGTTTCTCAACCGGGAGCACGAATCCGGGACTAAAGGGTCCCTCCTTTAGTCCCGGTTTCTCGTCCGAAACTAAAGGTCCACTTTTAGTCCTGGTTGGTAAGACTAACCGGAGCTAAAGAGGTCTCCCGGCCTGGCCATGTGGGCCGGCCCTTTAGTCCCGGTTGGTATTACCAACCGGGACTAAATGTTTTTTTGTTTCTATTTTCTTTTCATGATCCGTTCACATTCTACGCTGCTACCATTTCTTTTGATGATTCACGCTGTTACCGGGTTTCTATTTTCTTTTTCTTTTCTATTTTCTTGTTACCGGGTTTCTATTTTCTTTTTCTTTTCTATTTTCTTTTGATGATTCGTTCGCATTCTACGCTGCTACCGGGACTTTCTATTTTCTTTTTTTTTGTTTCTATTTTCATTTGATGATTCGTTTTGGCTTTCAAATATGCATTCTACACTGCTAGAATATACGTAACATTTTGTACAAACTAAAGTATCAAGGATGTAGCGGTACGATCCTATAGACCAGATCCGTTTCAAGTAAAGTCGTGCTGCATGGCCCCAGAGCTAAGCTTTTAAGTTAGCTTTCACTCTTCTGAGCAAGCGATGTGGTGCTAATATGTGGGACTGGCCAGCAATTCCAGCATATTGCGTACTGGGCCGCTCTATTCTGGTATATGCTCTCTCCTGTGTGTGGGCTTCCGGTCGAGCCGGGCCATCGAGACAGCAACCGGGACTAAAGCTAATGCAACCTTTAGTCCCGGTTCTAACAACGAACAGCGGTTCTAACAGCAGCCCGAGACTAAAGCTAACTTGCACCTCTGCTGTGTCCGACGGATCGAACAAGAGCACGGCCGGGACTAAAGCTAACAGCAGCCGGGACTAAAGCAGGAAGGGTGACGGTGCATGGAGCACAACACAGCAAGGTGCAGTAGCTAGTGTACGGATCCCATCCCTGTTGCCATGTGACGCGAAAAAAGCTGGAAGAAAAAGCTGAAAAAAAATCCGGTCGTGTCAGGTCAAGTCAGGCTCAGGCGACGCAGTTGAGGCCCACGCAGCCCATCCACATACTCAATCGGTTGGAGACCTTTAGCCCCGGTGGAAGACGGCAACCGAGACTAAAGATTTCTTTATAGTCCCGGACGGAGCCTCTAGCCGAGAGTAGACTTTTACTTCTGGTTGAAGGGATCAACCGGGAGTATAAGTTAACCTTTAGTCCCGGTTGGTAGCTGCAACCGGGACTAAAGGTCCCCTGCAGCAAAAGCCTGCCGCAGTAGCCGTTGGACAGGGACCTTTAGTCCCAGTTGGAGCTACAAACCAGAACTAAATGTCTTTCTAGTCCCGACGCGAAAAATACCGGGACTAAAGCCAAATTTCGAAGTGGATCAAAGGTCGTTTCTCTACTAGTGAATGTATTCTAATCACGTTTACATGGTATCAGAGCAGATGAAAAAGGTGGGGAAATGGTAGAGAGTTTACCATCGTCCGCGGTCATGTGGGAACCAGCCCCTGAATCGGCGTACCACTCGGGTGATGGAGCAGGCGGGTGGAGCGTCATGGTGTTGAAGGAGTGCACTAGGGAGTCCTGATGCCATGAGCCCCCGTGGGTAGGATTCCAGGGCGCCGCTAGAGTGACCTGGTGGGCCGATGAGGGCGCCTGGAAGGCCGGCAGTGCCGGTGGTGGAGGCACGGCTCCCCCGTAGTACGAGCCGACGCCCCCGAAGGACGGGCCGTACCGAGGAGGCGTGTAACAACCCAAAAATCCACACACCAAAAATACCAACTGCAAAAATTTTCTTAGAACTCCCATGTGATGATGAGTGTCATGTATAGAAACCCAACCTAAGAGATGCATTAGGTCAAACTCCAACCCAAGTCAACACATAAGCATGGCATAACTCTTGGCATAAACATGTGATTAAGTTCCTTAAGTTAATGAACCTTGCATGCATATTAATACCACTTATGATTTGGAATTCCATTTGCTTTATGTTATACTTAACAACTTTTTTAAAGAAATAAACCTTAAAGTAATTATTAATCAAGCCAAAGAATAAATGTTTAAAAGAGAAAACTAATTCTATTTTTGTATAACAAAACTACACCTAATTTTTGTTATACAAAATAGCTAAATAAATTCCTAATATACACATATAAAAGAATGTTGTGGGCCTCATATCTAAAAACTCCAATTAATAAGGTGAACCAAATTGGAATTTAAATTTCAAAACCAAATTTGAATTCAAAACAAAGAAGAAGAAAAACAAAATAGAAAAAGAAAAAGAAGAAAGAAGCCTCACAAATAGCTAGGCTCTTTCGGCTTCAAGGGCTCACCAACCAGTACCAGCCATCGCCATCCACCCAGTAGCCTGCCTGCCCACGAGCCACCCAGCAAAGATGCCAGCGTATGCCCACGCACTCGTCTGGCCCTTCTTTGCCGCCACCGCTGGACCCCACCACGACCTTCCTGTTCATCTTCTCATGCGCCGCCAACTACCATCATGCGATCAAAAGGACAACGCGCTTCAGCGAGAGCGGGCAGGGGTCACGCCCGGGGCATGGCCTTGCTTCCCCTTGCGCCGCGCCCACGCAACCTCGCGCCACCGTCGGATGCACTGCACGCGCCTCCACCGCACGATGTCGTCCGCCATTGGAGCTTGGTGTTTCGGCTATAAAAGCCCTGGCCCTGGGAGCCCTAGCACGTTCCTATCACCCCGCCGCCACCTTGGTGGCCGTCCACAGCACACCCGAGCCAAGAGAGAAGAGGGGGAAGAGGAATAAGAAGGGAGAGTGCCAAAGCCGCGCGACGTCGCCGGTGTCGCCGGAGCGGAGGACGACGCCCCGATCAAGCACGTCAACGTTGCACCATACTGCAGTGCTACCGGAGCTACATGGCCGCGACCCGCCACTGCACCGCCATCCTATCTCCCACGACACCAATGGTGAGCCCCCGGTTCTTCCCCTGCTCACCGCTGGACTTTGCTACTTCGGCCATGGCGCTCCACACCGTGAGCGCATAGGCCAAGGCCGTCCCTGGCCTTTGGGTACACACGCATGGAACACTCATGCGCACATCCACGACCACGCCGTAGACCCCTCCTAGCCCCACGGAAGCCGAATCAGAGCACACGCTCACCGCGCTCGCAACGCCGCCGCCATGGCACGGCCACCGCCTGCGCGCCTGGCCGTTTCACTGGACTAGGACGCAGCCGTAGGGAACCGCCGTGAAGCCTGGAGGTTAGCCGCATAGACCGAGACCCCAATAGCCGGCCACAGCGCCCTGGCCATGAGCACCGGACCTAGGCCGGAGCTCCGCCGTGCACCGCCACCGCGGCCAGCCAACTGGAGTCGTCCAGCCACCTCGCTAGCTTCACCAGGGCACCCGCCATGGTAAGGCCGAGCTGTTGCCCACCTTAGTTGAACACCCGCACCGCTGGAAGGGGCTCACCGACGAGCACCGCCACACCGAGCCACTGACCACCGTGGCCAAAGCCGTAGGAAGCCCTGACAATCACCTAGACCCCACCACCGTGTTCGCCGAGACCTAGCCAAGCCTTTCCCCACCTCTATTGGACGC